CTCTACAAACTTCATATTGTCACACAATTACCCTTATTACAAACACCTGCTGACTTGACAAGCACAAACTGGTATAGAAAACACATTTGTACTTGGTCATGTTACACTTCATTCTGCAAGTCCATTGCTGCAGGCAAAGCCATGCTGCAATGACATGCTACATGGCAATGCACACTTGTTTTTACATCATAAAAACCCATGTCTAGTTTGTTCTTCTTTCTTGTTTATTTATTACAAAATCAGAATTCTTTTGAAGATCGTTGTTTTAATGATCGAGGTTCAAAATGTTGAAATGCTGACAAATCATTTGATGAAACATTTAAGCTTTCTGTTAAACATCATTAAGAGACCACCATGGACCGTCGGCAGGTCCAACAACCGTTCTAACAAATGTCGACGCTCCACGCTGTGTCTGCTCTTTGTTAAAGTTTTATAAGAAAATATTTTTTGATTTTATTCCTTTCTAAGAACTGTGAGATAAGGAGGGAGGGTTGAGTCTAAAGGTTGCTCTGATTCAGATATAATCAGGTTTCAGGTAAACCTCAGCAGACGGGTGGAGACGAGACGTAATCCCCGTCAATAAATCAAACACACCTTTCTGCTGACGTTCACCTGTCCGTCATGTCCTCCTTGTTTTAGTTTTTAGTGTTTATTTTATTTCCTAGTTTATGAGGTTCTAATCATTGTAGAAAAAGTTTGAAACTCAAGACGATTAAACCGTTGGTGAAGGGGGGCAGTGAGGGACCTTTATATTTTTCGGGGTGGGCGGCGTTAGCCCCCCGGCCCCTCCTCCTGGTGACGCCCCTGCCTGCTGCAGCGCAGTGACGCAGCCGCAGCTCCGCGGGTTAAATCCTCCCAGCTCCGCTTCCTGCCTCCAACAAATCCCGGGGTTTTGTCGGTGTTTATCGCGCAGTCACGCGTCCCACCCCACAGACCCACTGCAGGTCCACTAGACCCAGAAACCGGACCGGGACTCGGTTCTTCAGCAGCGTGAGCAGAGGAAGTCCGCCGGAAACAGCCTGCAGCGGGATTTTATCCTTTTTTTTTTTTTTTTTTGTTTCCTTTCACTTTGAGTTTGTCTGAGCAGCGAGCTTCAGGTGGAAAATCAGGTAAATAAATCAGATTTTTTTATGAAAACTTTATTGATAAACATCAAATTCAACTGATGCTTTGTTTGTTTCTGCTTAACTTCAACTAAAACTGTGAAGAAAGAGTCCAAGGTAAACATTCAAGTTCTGCTTTTATCTATTTTCAGCAAAGTTTTTTTCTTTATTTTTAGTGTTTTCAGGTCTGATGAAGTGTCGGAGCAAAAACATTCACATTAATCAGAACAACGTTACAGAGGAACAGCTTGATTTGCCAGTTTTTTAAACTTATTCTATTTTTTTTATTTAGAAATTTATTCATTTCATTTGTAACATAAAATAAAGATCAAAAAACGTGCAATCAAAATAAAATCAAAAAATGAAAGGCGGCAGTTTTTATCAGTTAGTTTCCAATTAACAAAAACAGGCTGAGATTTATTTATTTATTTTTTTTATTTTAGAAACCTCTTTTTCAGTCTTATCAAACCAAATCAAAGATTATTTTATTGTTTAAAACACAACTTTTATTGACCTGCAGTGTTTACGAGCGGTGAGAATAAACTACAGTTTACACAATAAACTGTAATTATTAGGAACAGGTGGTTTACAGGTGAGGTTACCAGAAGTAAAACTGACAAAATAAGTTTCTGTTTGGAAAAAAAATTCTTGTTGTTTAAAGAAGCAAATAAATAAAAGTTGAGTTGTTTGGCAGCGAGTGCAAAAAGAAATGAAGGGTGGCTCAAGACTTTTGCACAGTCGGGTCTTTATGTCTCGTTACTGAATAGATTTTTCCGTCCACAGAGAACCGTCATGGCCGCCATCAGCAGCTCGAACACAGACTTCGCTCTGGAGTTGTTTCGCACCCTGAGCCGGGCCGACGCCACCGGGAACCTCTTCCTGTCCCCGCTCAGCATCAGCTCGGCGCTGGCCATGGTCTACCTGGGAGCGAGGGGCAACACGGCGGCTCAGATGTCAAAGGTCAGCGGCRGCCTGAATGTGAACCAGAGCGAGGTCACAGAGAACCGTAAAACCACTGAAAGGACCTGAGGCGCTCCTGGTCCATGTGAAACCAGCAGGTTCAGATCAGATGTGTGCTCAGGGCGTGGCCTGCAGGAACACCTGGACTCTGACCTGACTTTAACACCTCAGGAACAAGTTCAGCTTTGTTCACCGAGAAGCAGAACGCCATAAAAATAAACAACTTCCAGAAGAACAGGAGTTTCTGAACACAGACCAGTTCCTCTCAAAAAGTGTCTTTGTTCCAGAAACCTGTTCTCTGTTTGTTTAAATAGATTAGAGTTTGATTAATTGACTTTGTGTCGGCCAAAAGACAGGGGTTCTTTATTTAGAGCGGAAGCTAAACCAGCAGAATAGAAGCTACAATAAGCATATCGTAGGGTAAAACCAGCAGAATAGAAGCTAAAATAAGCAGATCGTAGGGTAAAACCAGCAGAATAGAAGCTACAATAAGCAGATCGTAGGGTAAAACCAGCAGAATAGAAGCTAAACCAGCAGAATAGAAGCTAAAATAAGCAGATCGTAGGGTAAAGCCAGCAGAATAGAAGCTAAAACAAGCAGAGTGGAAGATAAACTGAGCAAACGTAAAGCTAAAGCGAGCAGAAAGGAAGCTAGCACAAACAGAGAAGAAGCTAAAACAAACAGAATAGAAGCTAAAGCCAAAAGAGAGCATGCTAAATGAGCAGAACAGAAGCTAACATGAGCCGAAAGTAAGCTAAAACCAGTAGAATACAAGCTAACACAAACAGAGAAGAGGCTAAGACTAGCGGAATAGAAGTTAAAACAAGCAGAATGGTGGATAAAATGAGCAAAAGAAAAGCTAAAGTGAGCAGAAAGGAAGCTCACAGAAACAAAGAAGAGGGTAAAACAAGCAGAATGGAAGCTGAAGTGAACAGAAAGGAAGCTACCGCTAACAGATCGGAAGCTAACGTGAGCAGAAAGTAAGCTAAAGCTAGCAGAGCAGAGGCTAAAATTAACAGAATAGGAGCTAAAGTGAGCAGAATGGAAGCTAAAGCCAACAGAGCAGAGGCTAAACTAAGCGGAATAGAAGCTAACGTGAGCAGAGAGCTAAAATGAGCAGGATAGATGCTAAAATAAGCAGAGTGGAAAATAAACTGAGCAAAATTGAGCAGAAAGGAAGCTACCGCTAACAGAGTGGAAGCTAAAATGAGCGGATGGAAGCTAACGTGAGGACAAAGTAAGCTAAAGCTAGCAGAGCCGAGGCTAAAATTAACAAAATAGAAGCTGAAGTGAGCAGATTAGAAGCTAAAGTGAGCGGAACATACGCTAAAGCAGCTGAACGATAGTTAAAAGGAGCAGAACAGGGGCTAACAGCAGGGAAAGAATTACTGAAACTAAAACCAGCTCAACAGTTTCTTCAATTAGTCAAAACCAAAGCTAAAAGTATCAGAATGGTGACTAAATTAGAATCGTCTGTAAAAGCTGATTGTTGCTAAAAGCTAAGGGGAACATCAGAATGCTGACTCAGCATACAGACTTCACATCTGTTTTTATCTGTTTAAATCTTCTCCATTAGTATTATTAATATTATTTTTTTATGTATTTTTAAGGCTCTGTCCTTCAGCTCTGGTGAAGACATCCATGCAGGTTTCCAGACTCTGAACGACAACATCAACTCTCCGTCGGCCTCTTACATCCTGAAACTGGCCAATCGTCTTTATGGAGAAAAAACCTTCAATTTCCTCCCCGTGAGTGTTTTTTTTTTTTAGGAAGCATTCATCTGCTCTTTTTATCCTCCCTGTTATTAAAAAAAGTTTTTCTTCTTGCAGAAATTCCTGCAGGAGACTGAGAAGTTCTACCAGGCGACCCTGGAGGCCGTGGACTTCATGGGGTCTTCAGAGGACTGCAGGGTCCAGATCAACAGCTGGGTGGAGCAGCAGACTGAAAGTCAGAACCTGCAGCAGATCTTTAAAGCCGTRAAGCGTTTCTGGACTGGASGTGAAYGTTTCTGTTGAATATCTCGTTTCAGATAAGATCAAAGACCTTCTAAAGCCGGGCATGGTGGACTCCATGACCAGGCTGGCTCTGGTGAACGCCATCTACTTCAAGGGGAACTGGATGAACCGCTTCGACGCGGCCAACACCAAGGAGATGCCCTTCAAGGTCAACCAGGTAACGCTCAGGTTACAGCGGGACTGAAGCTGAAAGGATTCCAGGGGTTCTGAYGGTCCCGTCTCCTGTTCCTCCTGTCAGAATGAGACTAAAACGGTCCAGATGATGTACCAGATGAAGAAGCTGCCCTACAACTACATCCCTGACCTGGAGCTGCAGATCCTGGAGCTGCCGTACGTCGAAGACGAGCTCAGCATGTTCGTCCTGCTGCCTGCGGCGGCTACAGACGGCTCCGACCCGCTGCTGAAGGTACGCAAAACAAAACAAGACAAAAAATTTATTTTTCTAAACATGATGTCCCAGTGGCTTTCAAACCCCAAAACACATTATGGCAAAGGCTGGTTCACCCCAAAGATCCGGTGCCCCGGCACAAACAGAGCAATGTTGTATATGCTGTTAAGTGCCAGGAGGACTGCGACCAGTTATACATCGGGGAAACAAAGCAACCACTGTTCAAAAGAATGTCCCAACACAGACGAGCTACATCTAATGGCCAGAACTCTGCAGTTTTCACTCATTTACAGGCCAGCGGTCACTCTTTCAGAGATGAGGATGTTCTCATTCTTGATAGAGAGGAACGTTGGTTTGAGAGAGGAGTAAAAGAAGCCATTTTTGTGAAGAAAGACCATCCATCATTAAACAGAGGTGGAGGCCTCCGTTTTCAGTTGTCCCCCTCCTACAGTGCTGCTATTGCCAGTATCACTCCACCCCCTGTTAACAATAAGTGTTAATTAGGTGTCAACGATAGCCATGTGATGTATCAGTCACATGGAGGCAGGGCTTAAAAGCCTGAATTTTGCCTGAAACTCTCAGACTGAAGAAGTCTCTTGGAGGAGAGACGAAACGTTTCATTAGAGAAGAACCCGTCCAGAAGACCTATACTATTTTTTTCTTTTTGATTTTTTACCTGGATTACTGAGATGCATCAGGACAAGACAAAAAATATTTTAAATCCTCTTTTGTTTTATTTTAACATTTGCTTTTTACTGATACTTCTTCACACTGTAATCAAAACGTTCAGGTCAGTCAGGATGTGGCTGTAGTCACATTTGGCTTTTGTGACTAAAAATAAATAAATAACTTAATTAACAAAACTTTTCTTCATAGAAATACGTTTAAATCTCTTCAGTTCATTCTAAAACATTGTTCTTTTAAAAATCTGCTTCAGGATACTGCTTCTGTTTTTGTCTTTTTGTCACTTTTTTGTTTTAACTAGCCTTTGGCTAATTTTAGTCACCGTTTTGCTACTTTTACGTAGCATTTAGCTACTTTTGGCTAAGCTTTTGAATACTTTAAGCTTTTTGCTTTTTATTTGACACTTTTAATCATTTGCAGCTACTAGCCAGCCTTTTGCTACTATAGTTAGCTGTTTGTCACATTTAGTGAATTTGCTACTATAGTTAGCCTATTGCTASTTTTAACCAATCTTTTGGCTAGCTTTTGGATGCTTTTAGCTTCTTGTTTTACTTTTGATGCTTTTAGTTTGCGTTKTGCAACTAATAGCCAGGCTTTTGCTACTATAGTCAGCTGTTTGCTACTTTTAGTTAACATTTTATATCTATTAGCGGCTAATAGTTCCAAAARGTTAACTAAAAGTAGCAAAAGCCTTTTGCTACTTTTAGCGAACCTTTTGGCTAGCCATTGAATGCCTTTAGCATCTTGCTAGACTTTTGATGCTTTTAGTTTGCCTCTTGCTACTATTGGCCAATGCTGTGCTACTTTTAGCTAAACCTTTTRCTACCTTTGGCTAGCCTTAGGACACATTAACTTCTTGCTTGCTGTTTAATACTTGTAGTTCATCCTTTTGCTACTTTTAGTTAGCATTTTGTTGCTTTTAGTCAGCTTTTCGCAACATATCATCAGCCTTTGGATGCTTTTAGCTACTTGTGAGACTTTTAATGCTTCTAGTTCAGCCTTTTGCTACTTTTAGTTAGCCCTTTGCTGATTTTTAGGTAGCCTTTTGCTGCTGTTGGCTAGCATTCGGATCTGTTTGACTTGCATTTGGATACTTTTAGCTAGCATTTTGCTATGTTTAGCCAGCCTTTTGTTGCTTTTAGTCAAGCTTTTGCTACATTTTTCAGGCTAGCCTGTGGATACTTTTTGCTATCTTTTGAATACCTCTGGCTAGCTTTTTGCTACTTTAATTTGCTAATTTTAGCTAAACCTTTGCTACTTTTGGCTAGCCTTAGGATACATTAACTTCTTGCTCACTGTTTAATATGTGTAGTTCAGCCTTTTGCTACATTTAGTTAATGTTTTGTTGCTTTAAGCTAGCCTTTTGCTACTTTTGGCTAGCCTTTTGCTGATCTTGGCTAGCATTTGGATCTGTTTGACTTGCATTTGAATACGTTTAGCTAGCATTTTGCTATGTTTAGCCAGGCTTTTGTTGCTTTTAATCAGCCTTTTGCTACGTTTGCCAGGCTAGCCTGTGGATACTTTTGGCTCTCTTTTGGATACCTTTGGCTAGCTTTTTGCTACTTTTAGTTTGCTACTTTTAGCTAAACCTTTGCTACTCTTGGCTAACTTTAACAACTTTTATTTCAGCATATTTCAGCTAAGTCATTCAGCACCAGGCTGTATTTAAGCAGAACTGTTGATTCTGTTGGGTCCTTGAAGAGGACTTTAGCTCTTCGAGCTGCAGCTCGAACGTTCCGAGCTGCAGCTCGAACGTTTCGAGCTGATAATGACCAGATTTTTTTGTGTCGCAGCTGGAGAAGGAGCTGACGCAGGAGCGGCTCAACGAGTGGACCAACAGAGCCAACATGGACGTCCAATCAGAAGTCCTGGTCCACCTGCCCAAGTTCAAGCTGGAGGAAGAGTACGTGCTGAACGAGCCTCTGGCCACGCTGGGCATGACCGACGTGTTCTCCGACAAGGCCGACCTGTCGGCCATGAACGGAGAGGGCGGGCTCTTCCTGTCTACGGTGGCCCACAAGGCCTTCGTGGAGGTGAACGAAGAGGGAACGGAGGCGGCGGCGGCCACGGCCGGCATAGTTTCTTTCTGCATGTTGAGGGAGGAACACTTCACAGCTGATCATCCCTTCCTCTTCTTCATCAGGCACAATAAGACCAAGTCCATCCTCTTCTTCGGCAGGTTCTCCTCTCCTCAGTAGACGGAAACAGCCGAGGAAGATGGAGTAGCTAAAAAAATAAATACGCTCCTACAATCAAATGAAAGTTCTGCGCTCTGCTGGTTTGTTTATTAAAACCCTGCAGTGGAGCAAAAGTTCTGAAGCACTTAAGTGTCCTTTTTTGTGTGTTTTTGTGTTTTTAATGTGTACACATTGAGCTTTCAGGAATGTACACACATGATAAGGTGCTTTAATCTGAATAAAAGGCCAAAGTTCTGAACAGATTTGTGCATCTTATTGTCATGAACAGCTTGTCAGGCACAGATCAATCGAACAAAATCAATTAACATTCATTTAAAAAGCTCTTTATRACAACTAAAATGTGTTAAATGCTTCACAGTAAAATGGTCAAATAACTACTGTACAAATAAAAGAAATTTAAATTTCATTTACATCAAAACTACATTTTTTGTCTATTCAATATATTTATATTATTTTTTGTATATATACATATTCAAAAATACTTTCCCAGTGGGAAATTAGTTAAATATAATATATAGAATAATATATTTTATACATTATATAAACTTTGTTATTCATTTTCTAAAC